AAAATCCATAAGATTTTACAGTTGCTAAAAAAGGGTTTTTCTTCAAAAGTGTATCATGATAAAAAGGCATAATGCAACAAAATAACCCTAACGTTTAACAGTAGTATCAAATTTATCCATATTATTTTTTTTAACATTTGTGCATTTAACGTTTATTTTTGGGTCAAAAATAACCCGCACTGGATAAAAACAGTTAGTCAACTGACGGTCAACGCGGGGTGCTGACTAAACGCGCACGCATGGAGGGGAAAGTCGACGTGGAAGTCCATATCATCGAGATCGCTGATGTGGCACTGCCACATCATTTTTAAAAATTATTATTTATATTTTTATATTATTAATTCGAACCAATCAGAGAGTGACACATGTCACTCTCTGATTGGTGCACAATGAAAATGGTTAAATGCACCTGGGTCTCTCATCGTGTTTTTTGGCTCTCCGTGACATCTAGGAACAACAACGATTCCTTTAATTATTGAGGTAAGTTGATATAAAATTTAAAATAATTTAATTTTTTTTAAAATGATATAACATAAAAATATTTTTTAATTATAATATTTATATATATTATTAAAATTCGTCATGTGGACATAACGAGTTCCAAGAAATATATTAAACGATTAGGCTTCACATGGTCCACAGACCTGAGTCCATTAAAATATAACATCTGGACAAACTCGTCATATGAGCCTGACGAGTTCGCCATGCATTGTAACAAAATTCATATTTCTCAAAATAATATTTAGGTTGTCCCATTGAGCCAAATAATTAATTCACTTGAATTATTAGCCGAATATTACTCAAATGTTCTACCATATTGTGAACTTCGATAAATAAAATAAAATTTTGTATTTATTATATACATATTGTGAACTTCGATTTTTTATTATTATTTTTTAACATTTTTTGTAGGATCATTATGTGATATTTAATGACTAATTTCTTGTGTTAATTGTTATAAGAAAATATCTTAGTTACATATTTGTTTACAATTATAATTATAAACTTTAAATTGTAATTTTGGATATTTGATTTTCTTTTAATAAAACTATTTACTTTTAATAATATTAATACTTCTCCCTTTAAATATCTATATTTAAATTTAGCAATAAATAAATATAATGTGTGAATTCTCAGTATTAATTTGTTTGTGGATACAATTGTAACTTGAAAAAAATGCACCACCATTCTTGTATATTTTATACAGTATAGGGACAAACGTGCAATTATCCAAAAAGTCAATAAACAAATTCAATGTGTGTGTATAAATAAATTTGAAACGGAATTTTGATTCGCAGATTAGAAATCGTGAAATCCGAAGAAATTACAGCAAAGGAAGAATGGGAAAGTTGAGTCAATTTGCGGTTGCGGCGGCGATTCTGGCGGTCGGCCTCCTTTCAGTCTCAGCCACCGCAAGACCCTGCAAGACCTTCTTCGTCACCTCCTATTCTTTCTCCTTTGGCAACCCTAACGATCCTTTCTCGTCCTCCGCTTCCGCCGGATTCGTCACCGTCGTCACCGAGATCAGCCAATTGAGTCTCAAACAGTCCGATCCCAAGCCGTCTGGTGTCTTCACCTCGCTCCGCGAGCGAAGTAGGGACATCCTCAGCGTGGTCGTCGCCCTTCTCTTCGGCGTCGGCTGCGGCGCTCTCACGGGGGCCACCCTTTACTTGGTATGGTCACTCTTCTCGACCCGGTCTGATTATCATCAAGCTTTTTTGGAGGAAGATGAGAGCGATGGAGAACTTAGCCCTAAGAAGATTGGGTATGTAAATATCCCCACCGTTAACGTTAAGGAAACCCCTTGATCAAATTATATGTTGAAATCTTTAATATGAATAAGAATCGTTTGTTAATTGTTGTGTATTTGAGTAAAACTCATATCTATGAGATTTGTTTTAAGCCTTTGGGATTACATGTAATCTAAATACTATCACTGTATGAATCCTTCGGATGCTGTATTACGCTTGCTTTGTTATAATGTTTTTTTTCATTTCTATAGATTCATTTTAATTGTTTCTTGTTTTAATGCAAAACAAAATGAAACCATAGATGAATTACCCTTTGAATAGTGGTGATACATGTGGTAGTTGATGCATCGATTGTTCATTTGTCCGTGGGTATCTGTTTGCTTAGAAATAATATCTGTATTGTTATCATGTGTTTGTCTTGTGATTGATGGTTTTGCATTGCAGTCTTTTGGAAGCCCTAGTTCAGCTTTTAAGGTTATAATTATTACCTTCTTCTTGTCCTTGTTTTTATTTGATTGCACTCCTTCCTTTGTACCTATTGTGTTATGATTATGAAATGTATAACTGTTAGTTTTTGTATGTTAATCGTGTATTCCTTTCATTTGATTCCTGGCAATGATTTGTCGGATTCATTGGTGACTACCATCCACACTTCCTGGCATACCATGTCTGGTAGGTGAAACATAAGAAGCTGTCTGCTGATATGTATGGTAGATTTTGGTGGTGCACAGGGACGAGTCAGGATCAATTACGGGGAGAGGCAGGTTGCTTAACTTCAATAACGTAGAGACCTATTAAGCATTCAATTAATCGGGACCAAAACAGCCATTGGACTGGGATTTTTTTTCCGTCCCTGGCGGTTCCCCTGGTTTGATTTATGAATCTTTTTTTTCATTTATATTTCAGCTTAACCTGTTTCGGTAGGCACTAATTAACATTTATCTTTAAAAGATAATAGCCTAAAGCTTACTTGCCAATATTATTTTGGCAAACCTTAAGTTCTGTTGTATATTCAATTAAAAAGTACGGGAGCTTAATATCATTTGGTCGTATCTTGGAATTGATTCATCACCTCACCCTCTTATAGGTTGAGTCATTGGGGAGGTTTACTTTTCTGATTGAGAACATGAATTGACTGGTGGACTTTAGCCTGGTCTTCGATCTAGGAAACAGTTTTTCATATTAGAGTTACCTTAAAGGATGGTTTAGGTAATGACATGTAGTTAGCATCAAAGAATCATTGAGCCAATTTCCTATCTCTATGTTGCTCAAATTTTAAATGATGCTGAGATGTTGTTTGTGTTAATAAACTCTATTCTGGTTCACGGCTTTTCTTAATCTCGTTCTCTTTGATTGATGATGTATTTGCTCTCACTCTCTCATACATTGAGCAAAATGAGAGAGAGTGTTAGGATATCTAGGGTTATTGCTTCAAGCTTTTGATATTCCAAGAGTGAATCCAAATTTCGACTTTAAGTTTGTTGTTTGGTTAACTTGTTTTCAGTTTTTGCAGGCAGACTTACCGGTTATGTCTACTAGTCGGTTTTCCCGTTTTTTTCATGTACAAGATCTTGTCCCTTAAGTTTACCGATCAGGGTGTTCTTTTAGAATCTCACCATGTATGTCTCCCTGCATCATCATTGAATTTTACAAAATCAGCCGGTGGTTATGACCCATTTTGCCGGCAGCATGCATGTACCAAATCCTCAAATGTTGGTGATAGCTTCAGGTTTCTTGAGAAATTTTCCTTCCCGTAGGAGGCTAACAAAACTAATATTTAACATATTTTGAGATGAGATTCCATTATAATTTTCAACATGTTATTAGTTGACTCTAAATATAAACATATTCCTCTAGCTATACTAAAAAAAATCATGAACATTATTAATAATTTGAATCATAGAGTTTCTAATTAGAAGTAAAGATGAAACAGACACTAATTCTTATAAGCTGAAATATCTCTTCATAATTTTCCAAATAAGGTTTTCTTTTTAAAAAAATTGTGATTTTAAAAATAAAGTTTCGCATGAATCTGATCCAATATAATTAAGAGGTTTATTTGAGTTTTTTAACAATATAAATCTGAAGAGAAGTGATATAAAAAAAGTAAAACTCGGCATAATATCCTTAACAAATATATTATTTTTGAAGAGTACAAAAAAAAATATCATGGTGTGAATATTTAATTTTAAATGATTAAAAATTATCTTTGAATAGATACCGTCTTGTATTTATTCTAGGTTAATTAAAAAAAAGAGTAAACCTAATCAAAATTTATATAAATAAATGTATTACTTAGGGATGGGCATGGGACCCGAACTCGACGGGTTCCGACCCGACCCAATTGGATCGGGTTTTCTTTAAAAAAAATTAGAGTAGGGTCCGGTTTTTTAAGTGTGATGTTCGGGTGGAGTTCAGGTTTAGGGTCAAGAATACCAGATTCGACGTCAAAAAAATATAATTTTACCTTATATATTTAAGAATAATTACAATAATACCCCTCTATATATAATTTTTTTCAATTAAGTCAATGTTTTTATTGAATAAAAATAATTTTTTATTATTATTTCGGGTCGAGTTGGGTTTCTAAGTTATATATCGGGTCAGGTGAACTCTTGTTTTGGTCGGGTCGAGTCTCGGGTGGAGGCTCCTTTGTTCTCGAGTCCAGTCGGGTGGACCAAAAACCCGACCCAACTTGACCCATGCCCATCCCTAGTATTACTACTTTAACCTAAAAATACTAAATTCTGAGTTCGAACAATAAAATATAAGAATTAAATTGAAAAAAAAGTCATCAAGTTTAGAAATCAAATATTAATTTGTTCCGATAGAAATCATAGCGCGATGCTGCGAAGCTTCTGCGTCAAGACCATTTGTCTAGAAAAAAGAGGCCAAATGGAACCCATTGTTTTATTCTAATTTAATGTTTTTGTCCAACAATGTTCAAACCGATAAACAAAAGTGTAAATGTTTCATTTTGCTTTCTGCAAAACCTTATTTATAACCCAAGTTGGGAGTGTAAGAATTGATATTACTTGATTTTGAGATTTGGGATTTTGCGAGTTTTAAATTGAATTTTACGAATTTTAAAATAATTTTTAAAAAACTTAAACTGATAGAAACGGATTCATCGGTGTCTCGAGTGACAACTAACGATCTACCAAATCACACCTTCGATTAGTTGCGGGACGAGAGCTTCTCGTCCCGTAACGCCACCCTTCAACGGTTACAACAAAAGTACAAAAGAGATCAAAGAAAAACTATTCATGGATTCGCTTGAACCATAGTAATACACGATGAGGTTAAGGAAGCTAAACAACAAACTTAGGAGCAAGTTGTGAAAAGAACACATAAAAACATACATAAGAAGACTGCTTCAGCTTTTAAAACATACGGTATCATCCTAGCATTGACGGGGGCTAATTATTTGGTGTTGAGAGTAAAAGCCAAAGATGAGGAAAAATCAACCTCTAAGTAGATTTATTCCGAATGAAATGGTGCAAATCTTGAGGCCCAGCAAAGCCAAAAACCCATATTTCCTGCACATCATTGTTCATTTACAAGTCGAGTTCCAACAGGGCTAAAACTGAAGCAAACCTCAATACACTAAACTGGAAGTTTAAACCCAGAAAACTATTTTAAACACAGAATTGTCCATGTGATAAAACCCATTTCTAAGTAATTTAGAGCAAATACTGTAGAGTTCTATTACATGAGTGAACCTCTCAATCGAGTTTTCTCAATTTATAATTGTTAGAATTCGAACATTTTCTCCATAAGATTCGAAACCCTTAAGACACCTAACGACTCATTCCGCTACACCGATTACAAGAGAGCTAACTTTTACAAAAAACTGTTCATGTTATAAAGCCTATTTATGAGTAATCTAGAGCGAATTCTGCAGAGTTCCATTACACGAACGAACCTCTTCATCCAGTTTTCTAAGTTTAAAACGCTAGAATCTCGATATTTCTCCATAAGATTCGGAGCTCTAACCTTGCTTAAGACACCTAACGACTCATTCCACTACACTAATTATAAGAGAACTATTTTTTAACACAACTGTTCATGTGATAAAACCTATTTCTGTGTAATCTAGAGCGAATACTGCAGAGTTCCGTTACATGAACGAACCTCTTCGTCCAGTTTTCTATGTTTAAAACGCTAGAATTTCATTGTTTTCTCCATAAGATTCGGAGCTCTAACCTTACTTAAGACACCTAAGGACTCATTCCGCTACACTAAATATAAGAGAACTATTTTTAACACAAAATTGTTTATATGAATCTAGGGCGAATTGTGCAGAGTTCCATTGTTTATATGAATCTAGTATTTTATTTCAATGATTAAACTGATGAAAGTCCAAAGATTGACACATTAATTTGAGAATATCTACAGCAATTAACCATTGTGAAAAACGAAAAAGCAAAAATGAAGAAAAATAGAAGAATACCCGATGGTGAGACGTTTCTGAGGGTCACCGGAGGAATATCCGGTGAAGTAGAAATAACGGGAGACGATGTACAAACCTCCTAGCGCGGCGCAGATGCAAGGATGAGCCATCCCTCCCAAAACCATCAGTATGAAGAACATTGGCATCATCTCCAGCGAGTTCTGGTGCCCTCTCTGCAAACGGAATCCGATCCGATCGATTAACATTCTTTAATTCCAACAATTTTAAGAAAACGGAATCAAAACGAGATGAGAAAATGAAACCTGAATACAATTGAAGAGCTTCGCATCTTTGTTCTCGGACTCGAGAGCGTAGAGAGCCGGGTAATAGACCTTATACTTCTTGCGTGCGATCCCCACTTGGATTCCCATCCATATGCTGAGAATGCAGTAAGCAACCACCGTTAACACTACGTACCCGTATTCTTTCGCCAAAAACTCCATGGATCTGCAATTAGTTTAACTTCTCTCCTTCGATTTGTATGCTCTAAATGCCTCTTATCCACTTTAGCAACGGCAGCCAAACCCTATCGCTTTCTACTTCCAGATTTTTTCTTTGGATGTTAACTCACTCGTTGACTCAGTTCTTATCCAAGACAAAAGATTTTTGGGTAAACTACGTATTTAATATCTAAACTATTAGTTTGGATCCGTTTAGTATTTAAACTTTCAAATCTTTTCAAAATCATACATAATGTTTAGTTTTTGTTTCAGTTTAGTATCTCACTGTTAAAAACTTAACTCGTTTAGTACTAACCTATCAATTTTGATCCATTTTTATACCTAAATTTTCATTTTTTTTAAATTTAACGTTAAATTTTGAACATGGGTACTAAAACAAAATAAAAATTAAATTTTAAGTATGGTTTTGAAAAAAAAATGAGAGTTTAGGTACTAAAATAAATTAAAATTAATAGTTTTGGTACTAAATACATAATTTATCCAATCTTTTTTTTAAATACACCATACATCACTGAATTATTATTAATAAGTTTTAATAAGTCATAATATTTAATATTTCAAAAAATTATAACAAATCATTCAATTAATCTATTGTAGTCATTAGATCATTATCTCGTTAAATATGGAATGGATTTTAAAATGGCATTGTTAAAAATATTTATAACTAATTATTTTAAGTAAATTATATCATAACTCACTCAATTAGTAGTGGATTTATAAATATGTGGCTGTCTTTTAAAATTTCTAACCAGATCATTCAATTACTTATTTACAAATGAGTTATTTAGGTTTTGGAATTCGAAAAAATAGAGCTATATCCAATTTATTTAACATATATTTTGATATAACAAATTAGGGTAAAATATTTTTAGATTTGATTTATTTTTTTAAAGATTTCAAAAATAATTCAAAGTCGATAAAAAAATTTGGACTCAAAACTATTTTTTGGGTAAGTAATATCGACATTATTTTTGCAGTATTGATGTCAAAGGTAAGAGAAGTGTCAATACTCTCATGGTAGTATCGATATTACCCTTTATTTTTCAAGTTGTTCAAACTTCTTAATGTAAAATTGGTATCGATTCTCTAGGAGTATCGATATTATTTTACACATTCGTATTGATACCACAAACCCTAGTATCAATATTGATCAAACTCAATGGTCATTAACAACTAGTTTATTTTAAAAGAAGTATTTGTACTCCAAAAGGCCGTACCGATACTCCATATTCTAGGCGGTTTTATTTTACAGCAAAAAAAGTCCCCAACGGCTCTAAAATATCTCTAACGGTTAGAAACGACCACAAACACATTTCAACTTATAAAAACAACACAGTGATGTTTGAAGAATGTTACAACACTTATCCAAGCAATCTAGATCAAGAGAAAAGTCATTTCGCTCTTTATTTTCTATTTTATCTTATACATAATGTTTTGAGTTTAATTGCAAATCTTTAGGATTCATTCTTATGAGCTCAATTTGTAACACCCATAACCCGTATACGCGAACCAATACGAATTACAGATGTCAAATCAGAAATTCAAAACATTTCTTTAATTGAACTGAGTAAAATTTTGTTTCATTCAAGCAACTCAAGTTTCATAAAGAAAAATCATAATATTTATTCATACTATTAATTATATTTAATACTAACTATTTTAAGAAATTGTAGACATTTCATTCTCGTATACATGCCAGCTAAGACTTTTAGAACACAGTAAGATGTCATCATTGTTACCGATTGTGATACTCATGGAAATATTTTATCGCGCAACAGATTAAACTCGGATCTCGAAACCGGGCCGGCAAGCCATCCAATACGAGCCGATCGAGCCGTGGAAGCTCGGAGGTCGAGTACGATCGAGGTCATTGTCCTATACAAGAAAGAAGATGAAACCGAATCTCGTTACACAGACTGTGTTATATGCTTGGAAGGGTTCGAAGATGGAGATTGTTGTAGGTTTCTTGTGGAGTGCAAGCATATGTACCATCAACTTGCGTAGATGAATGGCTGGTTAAGGATGGGCATTGTCCACTTTGTCGTTGCTCAGTCGACGGCTTGGAACTAACACGAACCGTTGCTTAAGACTTGTGATGCAGGTGATTCATGGTGAATGTGTGTAATACAAGAGTTCGTATTCAATCAAGTCGAGGAAAAAAATTAGGAGTAAATTACGTATTTAATACTTAAATTATAGTTTTTGTCCATTTTAGTATATAAACTTTCATTTTTTTAAAAGCATACTTAATGTTCAGTTTTTGTTTCATTTTAATACACAACTGTTAAAAATTTAACGTGTTTAGTGCTTAAACTATCAATTTTGGTCTATTTTAGCACTTAAACGTTCATTTTTTTCTTCAAAATTTCATGCTAAATTTTGAACATGGGTACTAAAATGAAACAAAAAATGATCTTTAGGTATGATTTTAAAAAATTGAAAATTTATATGCTAAAATAGATCAAAACTGATAGTTTATGTACTAAATACATAGTTTACCCAAAAATTATAGTTGGTAAGTCTTATTCTATAATTCAAATTTTATTTTAAATTTATTCGAGTCGAATGTAATTTATGAAATTCGAGTCGAGTTGTTAGAGTTTCCGTTTAGATTTAATTTTACATATTTATAATATTATGGTAATAATTGATTTCAATTTAAACAACTTTCTACAATCATATATAATATATATGTATATATGTTTCATATATCTTCATATTCGAATACATATATCATGTAAAGTTAAAAAACTTGATTCGAAATTAAAAACTAATCCACTAATTATTAAATATTCTAAATTATTTAAATTATTTAAGTCTTATTTTATAACTCAAATTTTATTTTAATTTTTTCGAATCAACAAATCGATTCAAATAAAAGAATTCAATTTTCCCCCAAATATACAACCTTAATAAAAAAATCAATTTACTTTGATTTCAGTTGCTCCAATTAAAATCAGCCACGTAAGTAAATCAAACACGGTGGGTCTGAATTCCTGTAATCCCAGACCGGTTCAAAAAGTTCAAACCGACGGTCGGTGGGGTCAACTGTCAAGTCTGGCTAGCACCGTATATATATATATAACGTAAAATTAAAAAATATATAAAATAAATTGAAGGAATTTGCCAGCGAAGTCAAGACTCCGATTTTTCCTCTCATCATACGCTACGCGCCCTCAGGTTCTCTTAATCTTCGCATCTGTCGACGGCCCCGCCATTTCAGATCTCCGGCCCCGCTATAACGCTCACTCTCGTACTGGACTGATCCGAGTCCAAGTGATTGCTCCACTTCATCGGCGGCTGATTTCAGGTGATTTATTTATTTTATAGTATTTTTTTATAATTTTTTGTTTGATTTTTAGTTCGTCTTTGATTCTAGTTGTTTTCGATTAGCATGCATGCGGATCAGTGACGCTAATTAATTTTACGGAATTATGATAAAAGAAAATAAGATTTTGAGTTAGATTGTCAAATCTGACCTTGCGAGTTACAGTTCTGTTTGGTGAGTGGTTGACATGCTTGATTTGAGTGTTTGAACTTATATTGACCAGATGATTTAGTTGGAGTGTTCCCTCTTGTACTGGGAAGAGCTTATTGAATAGGATTTGTTATCATTTCTGGAATCTGAGCTACTTTGGAACTGAATTGTTGTGCTGGGGAACTTTTAGGTGAAAAAGATGGTGAAATTGTAGATTTGAGCTTTTTTTCTACTAGCAGTTGCAGCGGCTAATTAGCCTTGCCAAACTTTATGTCCGGTATGTTTTCATGCATGTGCAATTTTAAGCTGGTTCTGAGTATGAGTTTCCCGTGATTTCATTGAATGTTTGCCTATGCCAGGCTGCATTTGGATGACCAAATGAAAGGCGCCTAATTCCCCTTACCAATCGTTTCTTAGGGGATGTTATGTATAAGAATGAAATGCTGTAATTCCATGTATTTACAGAATTTATCATTATTCGCGCTCCTTTTTTATTGATTCTTTCAACATGCCATATTTAATATCTTGAATGGAAGTCTTCAAAAGATATGAGAGACTCCTTTGAGCAACCTATTTGTTTAAAGGCAAAAAATAGATGAAGAAAATAGGTTCTGTGGTTTAGAAGATATCCCTCACATGGACATTTGCCAAGAGAAAATTCAAATGTTTTTGGTTTATATCTAGACCACAAACTCACACGTAATGGAAAAATGCATTTTGCTTCTTGTACTTTGTCATCCATCCATCTGTCTAGGGTGAGGGTTTCGATCTAGTCGAGTAAAAAAATTTCGAGTTATTCGAGTTGATGAGTTCTATTTTATAACTCAAACTTGATTTGAAAATTTTTCGAGTTGAGTCGAGAATATAAATCCGAGTCGAGTTTTCGAGTTTCTGTTTAAATTTATTTGTAATTATTTAAAATATTAAGATATTATTTGATTCCAATTTAAATATTTTTTTTAACCATATATATGTTTCTTCATATTTTTTTGGTATGTGATATACATATATCATACAAAGTCAAGATACTCGACTCAAACTGGAAAACCAATCCACTAATTACTAAAAATTTTGAGTTATTCGAGTTGTATTCTACTCGACTTGAACTTGAAATCTTTTCGAGTCGAGTCAAATTTATGAAATTACAATTCAAAGTCAATTCGAGTCGAGTTTTTTCGAATCGAGTTGAGTCAAAAAAATCTGTTTTTCGAGTCGAGTAAAGTTTTGCGTTCTCCTACATCCGTCCATGAAAGCAGTGTAATAAACACTATACTTTTAGAGACAATTCATTTATCATATCCGTGTTTATGATTTTAACACATTCTGTAATATATGTTTACACAATTGAAATGGAGAAAAGAACGAGACAAAACACGTACAAGGGATTTCTAGATCAATTGGAATTTCGATGCATTCATCGGCATTTTCTATACTTACAATGCATATAAAAAGTGGTGGTGGTTAAGCTTTTTTTTTATTTAACAAAGAAAAGTGGATTATCTTTTAAACATTTGCGCTAACTCATATGCTTCCTTTTCTAGATTTGCATTTTACAAATCAGAGATAATTGTCAAGGGATTGAACCATGAGTTGCTTTGGCTGTTG